CATCGTCATCAAACCGATCAATACCTTTAATATTTTCTAAGTTCTCAGATTTTAATAAAACAATCAAGTTTCTTTCACTCAATTATTGTTCAAACATGTACAATAATTATTATGGATAAATACAAAATCGAACCAACATGCAGTTGCAACAGAAAACGCTGGCTGTGAGAGAACCTAAAAAGAGTATATGAAGCAAATTCAACCACTTAAAGAAAATTTTTGATTACCGCCACTTAATTAAACTCGAAAGCTTAAAAAACTTCTAAAGCAATATATTAGAGAACCCATAAACTTTAGTGATATACTTTTAAATTATTTAACCATCAAGACGATTACGTCATAATACATTAAAACATTTGTCATCCCTAGCGAGCGGCTTATGATATAATATCATTTTGACAATTTCTACTTAATGTTAATTAACGCGAAATTTTTTTTTCTTTTCTCTATTAAATAAATGAATTTTATAGACTCTGATAGAAATTACATAGGTATTGAAATCTTAGGTTCTTAATATTTTTTTTTATAGTTTTTATAGCTCTGTAGCTTCCTGTTTCTATTATCAATATCTTGGAATATCGTTTTAAATTTTAATCTCAACTCATCTTATCGGCCTACATTCTATTTTTCTAATAATTCTTTTTGAAAATTCAACTTTCTATTTTTTTCTAATATTATTTCATAATTAGAATTTATGCTAAAACTGTTAAATACCAAAATATATATTTTGATATTTATTTTCTTAATATCGTTTAAACCTTAATTGAAAGTAAAATCACACTAATTAATTACACGATGCAAGTATCCAGATCAGCAATTATGAACACAAGTATTCACTTATGAAGTCTAATAAAGAAATTAAGATTACTTTTATGGTTCAATAAATCTATATTAATTTTTGGCGTCAATCCAAAATACACCTTTTTTTTATCTCATTTTTTAACCATGAACCAAGCTGGCGCAGAACTTTATAACAAGGGTGAGCAATATTGGTATGGTAATGGAGTTGAAAAGAACTTGCGTAAAGCCTTCGAATACTATCAGAAATCTGCAGACATGGGATATGCAAATGCAATTTACGATGTTGGATATTGTTATGAAAGAGGAATTGGAGTTGAAAAGGATGAACATAAGGCATTCATTTATTATCAAAAATCTGCAGAGATGGGGAACGCTAATGGAACACATGTTGTTGGATATTGTTATGAAAGAGGAATTGGAGTTGCAAAGGATGGACATAAGGCATTCATTTATTATCAAAAATCTGCAGAGATGGGGGACGCTGGCGGAGCATTTAATGTTGGATATTGTTATGAAAGAGGAATTGGAGTTGCAAAGGATGGACATAAGGCATTCATTTATTATCAAAAATCTGCAGAGATGGGACACGCCCAAGGAACATATAATGTTGGATGTTGCTATGAACAAGGAATTGGAATTGAAAAAGATGAAAACAAAGCATTCAATTATATTCAAAAATCTGCTGATATGGGTGATGTTAATGGAATATTTAAACTTGGTTATTTTTATAACAATGGAATTGGAGTTGAAAGAGATGAACACAAAGCATTTATTTATTATCAAAAAGCTGATAATATGGGAGATATGATGGGAACATATAATCTTGGAAGTTGTTATAACAATGGAACTGGAGTTGAAATAAATTTGAAAAGAGCTTTTGAATTGTTTCTGAAATCAGCTAAAATGGGTGATGCCGAAGGAATGAAACGCGCTGGTTATTGTTATAGAAACGGAATCGGAACAAAAAAGGATCTAAAGGAAGCCGAATATTGGTTTAAAATGTAAGTTTTTTTTTAATATTTATATAAAAATTTCTAAAAATAATATTAAAATTTTAAAAATAGGGAAAGAAACAAATTTCAAGGTAATGATCTTGTAGTTTTTTTAATTTTTTTTATGTTTAATAGTTTAATTTACTTTCAAATAGAAATAGAGAAATTCTCTTATTCTGGTATCGATGATAATGTTAAAAAAATATTGAATGATGAGAAGTATCAATTGTTATGGATCCCATATGATAAATTTGAAAGTATTAAGGAGGTTGGAAAAGGAGGATTTGCAACCGTTTATCGTGCCAATTGCCGAATTTATTATAAGGATTCCTACTCTAATAATTCTTTCGCATTTAAAATAATTCATGATCAGGGCTTTTTTGATGAGGTAAATTTATTGAATTTGTTTGATATTTAAATTTATTATTAATTGTTTCTTTTTTAAAGTTGAAAGCATTTTGCGAGATCGGATATAAAAATCCATCGTTTTTAAGGTGCTACGGGCTATCGAGAGATGATTCAGGAAACTACATTCTTATTTTGCAATATGCAAACAAAGGTTCTTTACGTGATAATCTTCGCGAAATATCACAAATGAAATGGAAAAAAAAATTAAACTTATTAAGTTGCATAACATCTGATCTCGAAGCAATTCATTCCCAAGGATATGTTCACAAAGATTTGCATAGTGGTAACATCTTACAAGACGATTTGGATAATGCATATATCGTGGATTTAGGTCTTACGTCGCCTGCTAAAAACGATAATGAAATTGTTGGAATTTTACCTTATATTGCACCAGAGGTTTTATCAGGTCAACCATTTACACAAGCAGCAGATGTCTATTCGTTGGGTATAATCATGTGGGAAATATTAACAGGAGAAAAAGTTTTCGATGGTTACGAATTTGATCATGGTTTAGCAATAAAGATTTGTGAGGGATTGCGACCAGAATTCGCACCTGGGACTCCAGAATGTTATGTTGAATTAGCTAAACAATGTATGGACCCAGATCCAGAAGAAAGACTTACTATGGTATATATTAATGCGTTGATTACTACTTGGATTGAAGAACTTGCGCATAGAAGTAACAAAAGAAGAATTAAAATACAATTCTTAAAAGCTGATGAGCAATCTTTAGAAGCCGAAAAGATGATTAAAAAACTACCAAGTACCTTAAAAGGATATCAAGATCATACTATGTACACTTCAAAGCCCATTAACACGCAAGAGATCACGAAAAAATTATCAAAAATGGCAATTGTCAGCGCTCCAATAGATGATGTGGAAATTCCGGAAGAGTGACATTGCAAGTTAATTAAACTGAAATCAATAAAAAACATGATCTTATTATTGTGAAATAAATCTTAAACACTTTAAAAATAAATTATAAAAATTATGTCGATATTTTTTTAAAATCTTCCCCTGTAGAACTATGTGATGGTGGTTTAGATTGTTGAATTTAAGGACGGCCAAGCTAATAGAATAGATTTGTCGAATCTAATTTAACCGAAAAACTTTGGATTAAATACACTTAAATATATAAATATTTACTTATAACCAGCGTTGTACATTAAACGTTCTAATTAATAAATTTATACAAAAATATACATTAATATTTTTACTTAAAAAAAAAATAATAAATTATCTTGACAACAACACTGTTAATGGAAATTACTAATTCGTTAAATATTGATATTCGATTTTAAAAAAATTGACCAGGTAGAATAACCGATTTTGTAGGTAAAAATAAGAAGTCTTGTAACGGTTTGGCGGCACCATTTATGACAGCAACTACTAATTCAAATGAATTATAACAATTATAACTATGTACATATGAGCATAGTACAACGCTGCTGGCATTTGCAACCTTGATACAATTTCAGACCATGGTAAAGTTAATTTTAAAATAATTATGCTTATTTATAATATATTAAAAATGCAGTTAAGATATTTATGCAAAAAAAGACCGATTTAAGGTTACATGCCTGTCTTCTGAATGGTTAATATTTTTAATCTTTCTTTAAGTCATTGAGGGATGCCAATAAATGGGTTCATTGAAAATTCGAATAACTTTATAAGCATGCGCTAATTTAACCAATCAGTGCGACTCTAAAAAAAAAAATAAGTAATCATAACCTAGGTTTTTCGACCTAAATGATAACCATGATCGATTTTTTAGGCCATTGTTACAATTCGGGGAGAGCTATTATATGTTGCGGCCAAGATTTAGCAAGAATCATATAAACATACAGTAAAACAATGATTAGAACAAGTAGTATAAGATCAATCTTGGTACAGGCGACTTTATTATGTTGACTAAGGGTTAAGTCTTTTATAGCTGGCTGACATCTCCTTCACAGCAAAACCATGCTTAGAGTATATAAAATAGATGTATTCTATGAAAAACTCATTTCGTACAAAGGCGTGAGCGGTATGAGATATGACAAATAAATATTTACTATATTTTCATATAGCAAATATTTATTTGTCACCTAATAATTAGTTACGTCCCTGTAATAGACTTAATCTGCTGATTATTTTGTTAAAAAGAAAAATATAAAAAATGCCTCTTTCTACTATTCGTAATAAGCAACTCTTTATATAAACCTCTTAAAAGGAAAGAAATAATTAAGCAGTAACTTATAGCTATAAAAAAATGCAATAATTAGTGCGAAAAATAAAATGAACTACTATAATTAGAAGAAAATTTATTTCGTAAATAAATAATAAAATATATTACAAAAAATTTCGTAATACTGTGTTAAACCTACATTATATATTCAAGAAAATAATTTAGTTTTTCCCAATTAGATCAAAGTAAATTTACTCATGTCTAACTTGAAGAGTCTAACTTGAAGGTAATGATAACCACATTTAGATATTATTTTCAATTATTAATGTTAATCTGTTAAGAACGTAATCACATTAACTAATCAATGATATTGCACATTAGTACTATTTTGGATCAAAAGTTTAGCGTTAGTAATTTTATATTTGGATGGATTGAATTGTATTAGCGTTAGACACAATTTGGATTTGGATTATTTAATGAATTTTTACTTATGAAAATGATCCTGTGTGTCCATTTCGAGAAAAATTTCGAGAAAAAAATAAATAAATTTATTTACGTATTAAACATCTAGTACCTATTTTAAATATTTTACTACGTACGTACGTACGTACGTGTGTATGTACGCACAAGGATCAAATCCTAATGACTTGATTGCTCTACGCACATACGTACGTACATTAATATCATCTTAACCGTAACATCTCAATCAAAAACCAACCTAATAATAAATAAATACTAAAAAAATTTAGCATTAAAAAAAAAAATCCATTATATAATATTTATTTAAGAGACTATTTCTTGTTCGGAAGATGCTTTTGCAAATATTTGACTTCTGCTTCCAAATCCTAAGTTGTGTAATTATACTCATTTAAGTACTAGTTTTAATGAAGAAAATTGAAATATTAATTTATCTTACCTTGCAATAATCATCCAGCGGAAGATCATTATCATCGTAACCTATGAAAAAGAAAAATTAGACATCTTTAAATCAAATTTATAAAAGCTTCACGCATAATTTACCAAATGGATTCTCAATTTCCGTGCCTATTATTCATAAACATTATCAGAATGTTAAATATTAATATATGAATCAATTATAAATATTACAAGTATTACAACTAATGGATAATACATACCAACAGCTAAGATACCAAAAAGAATAAAAGCGACAAGGAAAATAGTGGGAATAGAGAACCAAGCAAGTTCAGCAATTATAGTAAATGGAAGAGCAAACACTACATGAAAACAGAAAAATAAAATAAAATTAATATTACTCAAACAACAAACGACATTTAAATATAGTCTTACCATATAACATAACCGCTTGTTTCCTATAAATTAATATATTATTACATATAAAAAAAATAATATTAAAAAAGTAAAATAAAACAAACAACGATTAAAACATACAGATGGACATTATAAGCAGTTGGAATGGGAGTATTTCCAATTCTTTCCAGATTGCCCAAATTATCGATTAAGGAATTTAAATTCGAGACAACAGCACCAAATTTACCTATATCCAATTTTTTCTCGCGACATTGTTTTTCAATATACATATTTAAATGAAATATAATTTCCTAAATTTCAGGAAAATATAAGTTAAAAATTAGCAAATTATTATTAAGGTTAAAAGAAAAAGGAAAGAAAAATCACCAAAGGAAGACTCATGCTTGCATCTACATCATCAGGTAATTCATTGTAATCGCAATCACCATATAGCCTTTTCTTATCTTCATCAGACAGAGTTTTCAAAGTAGTACGAAGGCGGGAATAAGTAGTAGGTGGAACTCTAGTTGCCAATGTTCGAAGTGGAACACTCACATGTGGGATATCAACTGTATAAGATTTTTCATCTTGATCAATCCCTTCGATGGTAGGCTCAGTTAGTGCGGCGCTACCCTCATAATATGTCAGCTGGAAACCATTGGGAAGAAGATCATCCAAATCTGGCCACTGAGTACCGAATTCTAATCGAACATGATGCTTAACGGCAACAACATATGCCAACAATAATTTAATATTTATTTCTTTAAGTATATGATCTTTTCTATCATGTTCTACGACACCTATCCAAAGGTTACGTGTACAATTTCTGATATGAGTGCTACATATGCAAATTATCATTTATAAAAATAATAATATTTTTAGTGTATTAACAACATTAGTTTCGCTAACACTTGCAGTTAATACTAACCACATGCAGCTAAATAATCTTCGACCTTCATTATATCGATCATAAGCATTGTTTGTACGAAAAGCCAAAAGAAAAGCGACAACCACAGCAATGGAACCGGCTACATGATCGATAAAATTAAATATTTGATGGTCATATCTATATTTATTCATTATACGTTAATTAATACACACTTAAATTGCTGGAAAAAGCAATGTTAATTCCAAATATCAGATATAGGACACAGAGGAAAGCCGTCCACAAGGTTGTAGAAATAAGAATGGGTATAAGATTCAGTAATACCTATTCATGTATAATTTTTGTAAGTTATGAATTCTTATCATAAAATTATAAGTGATTAATAATAAAACTAATCCATACAGAGCCTTGAACTTCAAGTACATCGGGATACCTATAATTATTGATTTTATAGGTAAATTTGCATTTACAATATTTACAATTAATTAATTAAGTGGTAGATCGCAGTTGAAGAATATATAATGTTGGAACGTTGAAAGTTTCTTGCAATATTTAAAAATAATATAGTCATGTAATCTACTAAACAAATTTTAATAAGTTTACCACTATTAGAATCAGAATAACTTGCTCTATAATCTTTGATAGAAAAAAACTTTTCATTGTAAGCTAGCTGCATTCCAACTCTAAAGAAAAACTAGATTAACTTCCGACAATTTCTACTACTAAATTTATTATTTTTATACCCTTTAACTGCAATTTACTTTTTAAATAATCTAACACTCACCCCCAACCACGTCTACGCGTTAAATATGCCCAAAAGGTCTTATGGGCTCGCGGATTTTCCATCTTAGGGTTAACCGGCATCTTGGCTATTTTTTTTTTTCTGTTTCGTGCGAGTTGATTAATGTAATTCGAAAGAAAGGAAAAAGGGTTAAGGCTTTTAAATTCGAATCTAAGCCTTCTAAAATCTTCTTATACTCAATATCTGTAATCATTTTGAAAAGCCTTCTAACAAACAAATAAACAAATTTTTTTATATAAAATTTGTCATATTTAGCATTGTTGATTTTAAAGATTCACAAGGCACAGCAATTTAGTGGCTTTCTAAAAAGCCACTGATTTTTATCATTCATTTAACAATTTGGAATAAACATCAAAATAAACCATGAACTTCTTTAACGTAGTTATCATTTACATATAACAATTAAATACAACAAGAGAGAACATTAACATTATCTTTGATATTCAGTAAATCATATTAAACAGATTACTAATTAATATTTTAAAAGTATAATAAGAATTTATTATTACGTATAAGAAATTCGCCCATTTCCGAATTGGTGCATGCACTCGTATCGATCAATCTATATTATATTTTATGTGCTGAGATTTTATTTAATAAATATAATATTTATTGTGTTAAGTCTAGAATTAGATGCTATTTAGCGCATGTAAATATTAAATATTGATTAATAATGAGATTTTTTTCATTTAATCAATAAGTCACGCATTTACATAGGAAACCATCTTATGATATATAAATATATATCTTGCATATTTAAGCAAATTTTATAAATATTTGATTAAAAATTTGATCTGTTTTGCAAACAGTAAAAAGACTAGGGCTTGAAATTATTATTACATAAAAGATGATGCAATTTCTTTCATTAACTACTCAGTTTAAAATTTTGATCTTTCACAATAATTCTATTAGAAATTACAGATAAATTTTAAGCATTATTTTGCAACCGAAATCGTAATCGGGATGTTGGATGATCTACGTTCTAAGGATTGGCGAAAGTTTTTTATTATGTAATTAAAAACAGGTGATGATTATGAACTTAAATATATTCAAATCCAGATTTAACTATTTGGACTTTAATCATCACCTGTTTTAAATCGGTGAAAAAATCTTTAGAACTTTTTTTTTGCTATCCATACTATGTTCATTAATATCTTTTTTGAAAGTAGCTATAAAATTAAACTCAATGTCAGCTATTGATGAATTAATTACCTGGATTTATTCTTTTAAAGATTGGATCTGTTTAATTGCTTAAAACCCATTCCATAGTTCTAACCAAATTACGTGATCGCGGGTTAAAATTATTTTAATACTGGCTGAATTAGCTAATTAAACAGTTGAACGATTAGAAATTTCCACCTCTAATTGTTTCATTACTTTCCGCAAGATAGGGAATAAATAATATTGTTTTAGTTCGATCTATTTGTGATTGGCTTTATCAGGAAAGCGATAAAGTAAAAATACAAAGAACTGATATCTAACCCTATCTTCGGGGCTTTGATAAAATTGATAAAAATTTATCGGGTAAGTAAATAATCTGTAATATTTGTCTAGTTCTAATTTAAACTAACACTAAAAATTGCATTACTACATTGGGTTCCAAAGAAAGAAATTTAGTATAAGACTTGAAGATAGAAATTTAGCATTAGCATTAGGGATATTGCAATTTATATCACTTATTTAGTATATGTAAAATTATGTTCCTGATGTTATCAATTAGTGCATCAATGTTGATTTAAATACGTATTAGATTTTGAATATGTTCTTTCTTTTCTTCTTTCGCACGTGTTCGGATTCTACGCCGGGTTGAACAGCACGCTAGTGTAATACAAACCCCTAAAAAGGAAGTGGCCAATCGGAGTGCACAAAATTTGATGAATTCCGAACACGTGCAAAGAATAAAAAAGCGAAAATACCCAAAAACTAGTGCTTAAATTGACCTTGGTGCACTAATTAAAATGTCGGAAATGAAATTTTACATATAAAAGAACATAATCTATTGTCATAGCCTCTAATATTAACGCTCTAACCCTTATCTTCTATCTTTTCCTTTTTTGGTGTGAACTCGGGAGTTTGTATTACCTGCACAAATCATCAAAGTCCTAAATTTCCTGAATTTTTACTCATTCTATCTATCACTATTCTATATATAGATATATGTTAAATTATGCAATTTCCAAAACTCTTTCTTATTGGTGCATATCTGTCTTTCTGAGAATTGTCACAAAATTTTAAACAGATTAAAAACCATCAGCGTGAGCAGCAGGTCATATGAGACTTTGCTAGCAAAATGACCTTCAGGATATGGGTATTATTTAAAAGTTATAAGAGATTATAAACTTTAAAGAGCTATAGTATAAAATTTTAAAATTTTATTGATACAACAGGTCTTTGACTTTTAATAAAAAAAATGGTCTAAATATATTTGTAGAAAACAGATATTGTTAAATGTTCGAAGCTAGAAATTTATTAGAGCCATTAGCCAAAAATAGAAAAAGACAAATTAAATAAATTGATGAGGTGCAGACAAGATAACACAAAATCTGGTTTATCATTATACCATAGATCATCCTCCATTACGCTCCGGACAATTAATGTAAAAATTTTGTTTTTTTTAAAAAAAATCCACCCTTTCTATTGAATAAAGTTCATATGTAAATCACTTGAAGAGTCATTTTGTTAACAGAGATTTCATACATAAAAATCTCTAAAGGTCATGAAATATCGACAACCCTTGTAAATTTGAAGATTTATCGTTATAAAATCTTAAATTCATTATTTAGTAAGAATGTTAACAGCTTTACCTCGCTTGTACATTTAACAATTATAGTAAAATATTAACTTATTTACTATATAGGTGATATATGTATTTAAGCATATTAACTAAAATAAGTTAATATACATATATTACCTAGTAAAATATATAGTAAATAAGTTAATATTTGTACTATATATTTATGGTCATTATTTAGTTAAAATATAATTTTTTAGCCAATAATAGTTCTTCAAATATATCTAAGTATAGTTAATTGATCTAGGAAAATTTTAAATGTATGGTGTCCTTACAAATTTAGAAGACCCCATTAATTGTGTTAATAAATGAACTCTAAAAAAAAAAACAACCAGTCTGAATTAAAGACGCATGTGAATTATCCCAATGATGATTTGTCTGCACATCTAGTCTGAATAACGGGAGCGACCGTTTAAATTCGTAGATGATTCCGATATGATTATCAACCAATCGTATTTCAAATTTTAGTAAGACGACCAATCAGGTTGCAAAAAAAAAAAAGGTCGTGGGATTCAAATAATAAATGAAAATCATCTACAATAAATTTTAAAATATTCAACTAGGTAAGTACTTGGTAGCTATAAATTGTGTTGAAATTCCCTTTAGTTAGTAAGAAAAGTAATAAAATACGAAATGGCTCAAGACTCAACAGATATTAATGAAACCATTGGATCTCTTGACGATTATATTCTTCTGGGACGTAGTGGATTGAGAATTTCTCCCCTATGCCTTGGAACATTGGTATAATATTTTAATTCCTTCTAATGTAATCATTAACTATTTTTTTATTCAATATTAATCTTTTGTTTTTAATCGTTTTAATTTAAGACTTTTGGCGAATCATTTGTAAGAATTTCCCTTGTTATATATTTCATAACATAAAGGTTATATGCTTACAATATTTTTATTTTATGCGCTTTAAATAGGGAATAGGTTCGAATTATGAAGTATCAAAGGAGGTTTTTGACTACTACTTTGAAAAAGGTGGAAATTTCTTCGGTATGTTGATATATGAATATTATTCAGTCATGAAAACAATTGGCATCTAATTTTGCGAATTTGACCTTTCTAATTTATTCTCTACGAATAATAATTTTAAGATACTGCTAATATGTACAATTTTGGAGAGGTAATGATGGGTATTGATTACAATATGATTGCATGTATTCTCTAGTGCATATGCTAATGTACAATATTTATTTATTTTATATAATAAAATAAAAAGAGCGAACGGTTTCTTGGTGAATATATTGGGGATAAACGATCTCAAGTTGTTCTTGGTACCAAATATTCTGGTATGTTCTTTGTTTATTGCTTCATTATAAATTTTTTTTTTATTTACAATAGATTTTATAATTACCTTTATTCATAACTTTATGAAGCGAATTCTACCGCTTTATCACCAAATGTCAAATATAATCCAAATGCTGGTAATTTTATTATTAATTTCATGGATTTATGTATTTGAATATAAGTTCTGAAAAAAAAATCCATTTAAAGGAGGAAACCATCGTAAATCTCTTGTTGAGAATATCGATGCAAGTATTAAACGACTAGGTACTGGATACGTTGATCTCTTATACGTTCACATTTGGGAATATCGTACTCCTATTGAGGAAGTAATGCGTTCTTTAGATGATGTTGTTAGAAGTGGAAAGGTATATTGTTCGGCAGTATGATTGTTTTTGTAAATCATTAATATTTAATACAACTTCTTACAGGTACTTTATGTTGCGATTAGCGATACACCAGCATGGGTATTTAGTCGTGCGAATACAATAGCTGAATTTCGTGGTTGGAGGTAAGTAATATATACAATATAAAAATGTTATATGTTTTATTTATCGTAACGGTGAAAGTAATATGACTTGTTAAATTTATATATAAGTCCTTTTATTGGATTACAAACGCGGTATAATTTATTAGATCGATCCATGGAATATGATATACAATCTGCTTGTGCTGAACTTGATGTACGTGAATAAAACTTTAATGTTTGTTATTATTTGTGTTTTAAAATATTATTACTTAGTTTTTGATAACATATAATTGACATATTAATTTTTACTATTTAAGATTGGAATTATTCCTTGGGGATGTGTTGCTGAAGGGTAATCATCATTTTAAATTGTTTTTTTTTAATGATTTATTTGATCATACATGAGTTGATTAATATTGTATTATTTTTTTTATTATTTTTATCAATCTTTGAATTAGGTTCCTGACTGGAAAACACACCAGAGAATCAGTTATCAAAGCAAAAAATACCGGTGATATGCGCGATATGCGAAATAATTCTATTATTAGATTAGGAAGCAATGAAACCAATTGGAAAATCCTTGATGAAGTTAAGGCTATTGCTACTGAAATCAATAGAACTCCAGCTCAGGTAATTTATGGTTAACTGAATTGTTTATAATTATCTTATTTTATAATTAAATCTTTTTTTTAAAAAACCAAATTAAAAGGTCGCTTTAAATTGGATCGCTCAAAAACCTGGCATTACTTCACCTCTTATTGGTGCTAGAACAAAAACCCAATTAGTTGAAAATCTTAAGGCTCTTGAATTCAAGTAGGTTTTATAAATTTTCATGAATTTTTGTACTCAATTGGAGTCCTCACTTATAATTATATTTGACTTAAATAAATAGATTAACACCTAAACAAATGGAAAGGTTGGATAATGTTTCAGCATCAAATGAAATACCATTTCCTTATTCTATAACAATGAATTTAAATAAATATCTTGGTAAAGGAATCCAAATTCCTGATAAGTATAAGGCCCTGTTTGAGGCGTCAAAAAAGTCAAAAGAAAAATATTAGGCATGTTTATAAAGGTGTAAGTTCTGGATTAGAAGCATGCTCATAAATAAAAATTAATAGTCAAATAAAAAGTATTTTTCTTATATAAATCATCAATAACTTGAATAATCTGATTATCCATTTAAAACAAATAATCTAAAAGTTTGATTCTGGTTCAATAAAATTCTCAAAAATTTAAATAATGGTTATTATCTTTCGTATGTATGTTGATCTAAAATTATAGATATGTATGATCAATATAACCTGACACATGCTAAGGATATTGCCGCGAGGATCATTACATGCTAAAACCCAATTGCATAATTGTTGGGTTGCTATTTAAGGATTAAATAAACTATTTAAGGTCAAGGTGGAAGATTTATTAGCGATAGTGCTTTTTTGTCTGTCCCTTTTAGAAAAAATAGTGAAAGTAGGTAAATATAAGGTGTAGCTTGTTTATATTGAAAAAAAGGAGTGAATAATAGAAAATGATTGGAGAAAACGAAAAAGAAAAGAGAACATTCATCGCGATATGATGTGCAAATATCCGATTCTCTTTGTTTTCAAAATATGGTTTATGTTAAATAACAATACGAAATACAGTATAAACAGCTCCATAAAAAGAGTAGATCTAGAAAACAAACATAAGTCTGTAAAATAAATTGATGAGGCATACTGTAAGGTAGTGGCACTATTTCACCGTGTAATTCATTGAATAAATAAAATCGATCCGAGAACAAGTAACATTATTCGGAAAATTTTATGAATATGTGATTCTTTGTGGCACATGTCAACCAACCATTTGCCCGATTGAGCAAAATTACTGTTATTCAAAAATTTGCCGAATAATAGTGATAGTGTTATCCAGCAATTTATAATCATGATTGTATTTATTGTTTGAAGAGACCTTGTACCTGCATGTTCCTACTAGAGTATTAATAGTTTTACACGAGTGCACTACATTTGCACCTAATATATGCTACTTAGGTAGGACTCTACTCGATGATTCAGGACATTATTATTACATAAATGCTGCTTAAACGTGGAGTATCATCAAATCTAGAAGTCCAAATTAATTAAATAAGTTATCAGATAAATGAGATCCCACAAAGACTTAAAAAAAAAAAAACCGATATGGTTTTGAATGCATGAATTAGCGTTTCCACTAGTGATGCAGGCGGAACTCTCCCAATAAACCGTACGACATACAGCAAGTTATGGTTGCGGTTACGACAAAATCATAAGAATCCCAGATGCCGTATGAATTCAAAAATACCATATCGAAATTAAATTAATTTGTACTAATCCATCATCTGTGCAATTAATCAATACTACAATCATGTAATTAATAGCTCATGATAAATATATACGTAATTAATATGTAAATAATCATATGTAATAAATGATAAAAAAATTGTTTATATTTTTTGTTGAATTATTTTTTTTTCTTGAATTATTTTTAGCGAAAGTTTTTTATAATGAATTTAAGCAATGATAAAAATAAATTTATTCTGGAAAATAATAGTTATAATTCATGCTCTTCATTGTCTGAATTAAATTACAACATTAATCAACTTTTTACATATCAATCCTCTCGACAATTATCAAGATTGCTTCAAGAACCAAATGAAATTATTACATCTATTCAAGATAATGATGATCATGATGTCTCATCTAGAGAAGAATGCTCATCTGACCAACCTAAAAAGAAACATTGTGGTGGACCGAAACGAGATTCATTTTGGGATTATGTTGATATTAGTAATCATTTAGAAGATGTGCATTACAGAGCTAGTTGTAAGCATTGTTCACTTGCATGGAATCATAAAAAGTCACAAATTCTTAAATGACATTTGGCATGAGAATGTGACAATGTTCCTCAAGAAATTAAAGAAATATGACATGATAATTTAGTAATAGAAGAAAAAACTATTAAAAGACAAAATAAAATTAAATCTAGATTAGGATTTTCTTCATCATTTAATATTTCTAATTAATTAGATTTAGAATCATATCAGAAGAAAGGCAGTGACAAATAGACAGAGTTATTTTAAAGTGTTAGATTTGTGCTGGAATTCTATTGAGACTATAAACAATCTATTTATTATTGACATATTTAAAACTTTAAATATTGAATACAAACCTTCTTTACAGTTTACTCTTTCTGAATACATTCTGGATAAAGAAATTATTAAGCTTGAAAAGTTAATTAATACTGAGCTAGAAGATGAAACAAATTTAATCTTAAATAAATAAATTTTTTTTAATATTCGAGAGTACAATTATGTATCTAGAATTATTATAATACAATTATAAATAAAAATTATTTGATATTATAATTTTTAATCTTTAATTTTTTTAATAAATATATTTTTAGCTCTTAACAGATGGACTGCACCTACAGGTGCATCGTTTTATAATTATATAATTATAACTCCTAGTCAATAAGAACATCTATTTCAAATTAAGGATTACTCTACTATATCACAAATAAGAAATTTTTAGCTAAAGAAATTAATAATATATTAAATGAAATTGGGCCTGAAAAATTCATCACAATTGTTACAGACCATGGTTCTAACATAAGATGAGTAACATAATTAGTCAATAAGCAATTTAATTTTATATTTAATATATGATGTGGTGCACATACAATAAATCTAATAATATCAGATTTGGCAGAAATAGCTGAAATTAAAAATCTAATCAAACAATGTGGATCTATAATAAATTTTTTTCATCACTCATCAGTAGTTAATGGTTATTTGAAGAAAGATATAGCTACTATGAATATCGAAGATGATGAACTCAAAACATATTATAAAACATAATAAGGTTCTCTTTATATGATTGTAAATTCTATAATCCATATGCAACCTGTTTTTGATTAGATAAAATTTATTATCTTTTTTAATAAAATAAAAATTAAGCTAAACATCTAATTATTATTAATCAATTTATATATTAGTTTATTAATAATTATGACATTATGATCTCTAACAAGATAGTGTTTGATTTAATCCAAAATCATGAATTTTTTAACCAATGTCATCATATAACATCAATATTAAAACTTCTTAAAGATATAGTGAATCAATTAGAAAGTTGACATGCAACTATTACTGATTATTATATAGTATTAATTAAAATAGCTACAACTATAAACTGTCTTCCTAATATCCATTTATTTAAGTCTAAAGCAATTAAAATTTATAATTCATAGTTTAAAGAATTTGCAACACCATTGTATCAGTTTGCATATTACTTACATCCATTATATCGAAGTAATTATAATTTAATAAATATATAGTGCAATTATATAATTAATATAATACTACTTTTTTTTCATTTTAAGTATTGGATTAAAGCAATGTCAATTTTATGAAATTTGTGAAACTGCAAGCATGATGTAGCAAGAATTAGAATATGATAAAATATCATGTGAAGATTTATTAATTGAACTTTATACCTATAGGCATAAAAAAATACCTTATACTCAAAAATTTAACAAGAAAAAAGAATCGACATTAAAATGATGACTAAGCATTGATGCTTAAAAAGACTCATTAGTTGAACTAATTATTAAAATTTTTTCCATTCCACCATCTCAAGCCATATATGAGTATAACTTTTCAACATTGAAATGGATATTTGGTGATCGAAAAACAAGACTTAATATTTTCATTTGAAAGCAATAACAAAAATTTGAACATTTTACTATACTAATATTAAAAGTGAATTATCTTATTATGACAAGGAACTATTGGAATGTGATTTAAGAGAAAATGTAAATGGATCAACTATCAATGCTAGTCAAATGGAATTTGTCAAACAATCAGAAAAATCTTCTGATTTATTTAAACCTATTTTTGGATCTTGTGACGTGCAATTAAATGAAGTAAATGATATGAATTTGCTAATCGATGAAATTATCAATCTTTCAAATCCAGTCATTATTGACAACAATAACTTATTTATTGAAAGTCAAAGTATAACATCGAATAATAATACTCAATAAGTTGGATTGGGAAATCTTAATTATAATACAGCACATTTAGTGATTCGGATTTTTAATGAAGAAAGTGATGAATAAATAATTAGAATAATAAATAAATTCACTTAGATTTATTTTATAACAGCATTGTATTTTAATATAATATCTTTAATGTTAGTACATATTCTTTATGCATATAGTCCTGCATTTATGCAAGCTATAACAGTAATATGAATTTAAAAAATTTACTGTACAACGGCAATAAAAAGTTTTCAAATTACGGCAAGTTACGGCATATAAAATTGAGTTACGGCACATACAAAATTTTTAACGTAAACAACTATATTAGTAGATACTCAAGTTATAGCATACCGTATTTTAAAGCAAAAAGTTGTAACTGGTCATAACTCAGTCACGACACGGCTTTTCCCAATGCTTTAAGTTCCGCCTGCATCACTAGTTTCCACAATTTAAAATTATTAATCATATGTTAGTTTAGACCAAGAAATTACCCGTTCTAATCTGACGAATGCAAATTATAAAAACTATATAACGTTTTTTAGTAAATTACAATTGACATATAGCAAATGGAAAATAATCAGCAATAATTTTATTTTAGAGTATTCAGCTATAAACGTACGTACAGTAGCCTCCAAAAGTATATGACGGTTACACAATGAAATCATAATAAAAAATCATAATAAAAAATCATAACAAAATTTTATGCAAATCAACGATATTAATAAGTTATATTGCGCAAATTAATTTGATATTACATATTAATGCATAACTTTTTATTTTTTCGCATAAAATTTTATTATGATTTTTTATTATAATTTTTTTTGCATAAAATTTTATGATTTCATTGTGTAACCGTCATATACTTTTGGAGGCTACTGTACATTATACTGTTGACATTTGTTGATATGCCTTTAACTATGTAAGGGAAGTAACAAATACAAAATGGCTCAAGACTCAACAGATATTAAAAAAACAATTGGAGCTCTTGATGATTATGTTCTTCTGG